TTCTCACAGTGTTGTCACTGTTTCAAAGTGTTTCGCTTTCATAATTCTTTTATATTAAAATAAAAACCATCTTGTATAGTTAAATTAATCTTAGCTTATTGGTTTTTAACGTTTCTTCAAATACTTTATATAAGCCAGTATTCGTGATTAATGCAATAGCCAATTAGTTTTACTTTGCATTGTAGAAAATAAAACAATCCGCGTTATTGTCTCCCTGTCAAGATGAGTTCACTTCCCTTTTAGCGAAGTGAGGACACGAAAGTTTGGGGCACGAGCTAAAGTCTAAAGAAATGATGCACGGTGTTTATCATTTTGTCATGTTTTATGGTGAAGAAATATTGAATATCGAAAAGTTTTAAGACGCGGAAGGTGATATATAAATTTAACAGCAAAATATAAAAAGATTATTGATCTGTGAACCCAACAATTATAATAGGAAAACACTATACAAATGCTACATGGACCAGTGAATGGTAATCAATAGTAGAGTTGATTAACTGGTATACTTTAAACAATATTAGATTTAACAAAAGTTAGGGCCACGGTTTATGAGGGGCCACTTTGATAACCAGCTGTGGACGGCAAATAGAACTATCGGCGGGTGCTTTTAAGTAAATCAACGTCTTTTAAATTTCAGTTTTTTTTAATCTGCTGATCAGTTAGTTCACATGTGTTACAAACTCAGCTGTTAGCATAAGAAGAACTCAAATTAATTGTAAATGGCTTTTTCGCCACTTTATCAGGTCCAATCGGCTGCATTTTTACTATATAAGTAACCGTTTATATATGCTTACTTAAAGGGTATTGATTATTTTTAGTTAATTAGTTTTTAGATTCTGACACTTGTATATTTTGAAGACAGGTCTATCAGAGGGTCAGACTAGAAACTGGGGTCGTTACTCCCAGTTCCTGCGGATTTAACTCACATAAGTCATCAACCGCAATCATCACGTTTCTAAACTGTAGGTCCTTGTAGGAACCTTACAGATCAGAATTATCCCTAACTGATAGACACTGAAAAAGAAAAAAAAATGTGCCACTATTTTTGAGAGTTGTAAATATTTTAAAGTGTTCATGATTATCAATTTTTAACATAAAATATATTTCTCTGTTTTTCTTGTATTAATTAAAAATTAGTTTATTACTGAATTAGCAGCTGCCAAATATTATCTTAGTAAGTCTGTAAGTTATTCTCATAGTTACATTACATATTTGCATTTGGTAAAATTCTTAAACAAACAATAGAGTTATCTCCCTGTCGTAAAGAGTTAGCCTCCCCTTGTGAAAGAAGCGACAAGGCCTACGCGATGCATTTTGTCGGTATCGTAGCCGGGTATTCACCATTCCGCATAACATTGCGCCAAAAATAAATGTCCTTTAAAAAATTGACCTTGTTACTGCAAGTTATGCTAATCCTACATAAAAATAAATACACTGTAAACATCTCTTCACTATCATGTCATATTATTCAGCCTAGTTTAAATACAGAATATATGCATTCAAAGAACTACATGTGGCCCACGGACAAAGATTTACAACTATTACATTCCATCATTTCATCAGATAATGATCCTCAACTCATTCTATATAGTATCACTTTAACCCGACCACATATTCACTGAGCCATTTACCATAGAAGTTTAACCCATTCATAAATATCGCAACAAAATCAAATTTTGACAACGTGAACTTAAGAAGTACCGCGGTAAACAAACAGATCTACTACATACATTACTCTAGATCAGATAAAGAAAAAAATCTTTTCATACACTAGAATCGGAAATCCCCACACCGATAGGATCAGCTGACCACACAACCCCTATCATGTTATTCATGAGGAAGTAGACATGCCCTAAGTTCCCGACGCAAAAACACGGTTATTTATGAGTGCATGTATGTTTGAGGGTACGTGTTTACAACGGTTTTTATACACATAAAACGCTTCCACGGCAACACTCGGCGCGAGGATGAGTAAACATTTGTTTATGTATTTGTCGTAGAACAATATTGCTCGTGTAATTTTCATGCATGGAGAAATTTGATGGACATATGTTTGGCAAACAGCTCTCGAACATTTATTACAAATTGGAGGTAGTAACACAAACACATACACACCACACATATTACAAATCGGAGGTTGAAACACGCACACATGCACACCACACATATTACAAATTGGAGGTAGTAACACACACACACACACCACACTTATTACGAATTGGAGGTTGTGACACACACACACACACCACACATATTACAAATTAGAGGTAGTAACACACACACACCACACATATTACAAATTGGAGGTAGTAACACACACACACACACACACACACCACACATATTACAATTAGAGGTTGAAACACGCAGACGTACACACCGCGCATATTACAAATTGGAGGTTGTGACACACACACCACACATGTTACAAACTGGAGGTAGTAACACACACTCACATTAGAAACTGGAGGTTGTAACCCACACACACCACACATATGTGGGATATAGGTGGAGGAGATTGGCGGAGGAGCTTCACTTTGTTCACTAAGTTACTGTTAATGCTCAGCTCTTTGGGTCACCTACTCGTTTCATTCGTAACGCAACAGTTAAACCATAAATTTAACGGAACTTGAATCTCACCGAAAATAATTTAAACTAAATGTTAATTTTATATATATATATATATATATATATATATATATATATATATATATATATATATATATATATATATATATCTGTGTGTGTGTATTTATATTATAGAATGAGTTCTAAGAATATTGCGAAAAAAAATGCTTCATGTGGCAACAAAAATGATAGCAACTTTTCAAGAAATCGATACAGCCTTGTTTCGATTGAACCACCCGAGCTAACATCTTCACTTATTACAAGTTGAAAAAGGAATTCAATGCTCTTCCGGTGTTTTTTTTTTCTTTTAATATTAAGGGAGAAAAATAAATCGTTATTTTTTTTATTTAATGTTGGACACAGATTTTTAAAATTAATTGTTGGAGACATTGTTTGCGCCCGTAGATGCTGAGGGCAATTAACTGTAACAAACAAATGTGTATTAGTAGGTCATTAGGCGAACTGTGTGTACGTTAGTAAGTCATTAGGTTAGCATTGTGTACCCTGCATTAGTAGGTCATTGGGTGAAAAGTGTGTACATTATTAGGTCATTAGGCAGTGTGTAAATTAATAGATCATTTGGCCAACAGTGTGTATATTTGTAAGTCGATAACAATGTGTATATTTGTAAGTCGATCCTTCAGTATGATGATTAAAGTATTTTTTTAATTGGAGGCAAATCGGTTTCATGTTTATCGTGGATATAGAAACCGACAAGATCTACAGATCTTGCTAAACGCAATAAATTACCTCAATAATTAATACATTGTATGAATGTCGTAAACTTTTTTTTTACAAGTTTTAACTTGTCGTAAAATGAAACAATTTGGTTGATTCCGTAAAAATGACCCAACTTTTAAACAATTTATCTGGAAATATTGTTTGTTTGCTTTATATAACGTGTCATTTCATATGAAGTTACTTGAGGCATACGACGAGGGTCAATAGGCAATACAAGAGCGTGTTAAGTTACCAAACTGTTAGCACTTGAAGCAACGTTTTCACCACATGCACATAGCGAGATTGTAAATGAAGTCTTTTTTTTTAAATTTTGCCTTCTCGTATTGCTGCTAAGACAATAACACTTTATCATCTAAAACTAGGCACGGTTTTCTATATTTGGTATTCAAGTCCTTTCCTTTATAAAATTAAACAACAAGTTTTTTCAGAAATATAATCTTCGAAAAATGGGAATAGCTCCACCAAATTACCGCCCTCGCTCCTTACAGTGTTGTAAAAACCAGAGTACGTTTACCGCATGAGCTGCTTCGCTCCCCTGTCAACCGGAAGTCACCAGCAGGAAGCGGGGCGCCACCTATTCAGTCATTAATGGAGTCTTTCTATTTATAGCAGGCAGCCTGTGTCTGTACGACAAAAACGTTGGACTTTTAACGACAGACCTAACACGTGTCGACGTGTGCACGTGCCAGAAATAATCTTAAGTCAGTGCGCCGGGGAGTTATTTATAGAACATTGATTTCGCACGAACAAATACATTTTAAAATAAAATTTTAAAAAAAAATGTAATAGAAGGCCCTTAAATGCAGCTATTTTTTTTAAATTATTTTAAACTACTAATTAAAATTTTTGATATGCATCGTAACATTAGGTAGCAATATCAGTAATTTATTTTGTAATTTGCAATAACTAAAATTTAGCAATATAGACAAACTCAATGTAAAATATAATCAACATAAACTGCTTTTAAAAATGTTTCTGTTTTTATTAGAGATAATCCATAAATAACGTCACGCTTTTTGGACGATTTTTAATCCCCCCCCTCCCCTCCGTAACAAAAAGCCAGACCTCCAACCCCCTAAAAAAATGACGTCACACTTCAGCCTATAACCCCCCCCCCCCCCCCTTTCCTTCTAAATTGCAGGTGAATTTTCTTTAAAACATCGATTTTTTTTTCAAAAATGTTGATTTAGCCTGGCCAACATAGATATTTTAATAAATTTCTATTACTTTTGATTAAAAGTAAAGTTTTCTACAACGTGACATAACGGCTATAATTCAGTTTCTAACATTATTTTTTTTAATGCAACACTATCACGTAACGCTGACACCCCCCCCCCTCACCGAAATAAAAGATATGTTAATAGATGTTATTTATAAGTCGATAATGTAGATAAGGCCGTAATGTCGTAAAGGTTTTAAGCAAACATTTTTTGTTCAATCATTTAAGAGGGATCCGTATTAAAAAAGAAATTATATGTACGGGTACTAGATTCTAATTGTTTAATTAATTAGCGACTGAACGTTATATTATATTTACAATGTAGCCAAATTTCTTAGGGGGGGGGGGGGGGAACGCTTTTCCTGACAAAATGTTTAAGTAAGAATCAAGTTTTCAAACGGTCTATCAGAGGGTCAGACTAGAAACTGGGGTCGTTACTCCCAGTTCCCGCGGATTTAACTCACACAAGTCATCAACCGCAATCATCACGTTTCTAAACTGTAGGTCCTTAAAGGAACCTTACAGATCAGAATTATCCCTAACTGATGGACACAATTCTACAGGTGGACGGGTACCGGGTGCTATTTGACTTGTCAGTTTTTTTAAAGTTTTTCCAATTCTTTTTGGTCTATACAAAAAAAATTCAGCCGTCATATATTGAATACTTTGTTTGCTTATAATATTTTGAATAAAAATTTAATTCCTAAAGTAAAACCATTTTCTTTAAAGAGATCATTAGCAGGACTAGTTTTTAAAAAAATTAAATTATAGTAATAATAAAGAAACTTATCTCCCTTTAATTAGAAGTTATCTTCCCCTGTTTATTTATTTCTGTATATCATCTGATCTAATACTTTTTAATACTTTTTCTAATTTTCTGGTCATGCTGGCTAATCATACTGAAGTTTTTTTTAAATTCATTTTATTTCGTCATCGATCTAATTAGTTTGCACTTCCTATTTTTTCTCTTTTGTCACATTTATCTTACATCAACGCTTAAAACGCGCACTAACTCGAGTTCATCTAGAGCGAGCACTAAAAGTAGGCTATATCCGTATTATTCTATAGCAATTAACAATAAAAACCTTACTTGACATTCTATAACATTCCCTTAAAAATGTTATGTCACATATTTATATTAATCTATTATTAGATTTTTTAATTTTTAGAACCTTTTGTTGTTTTGGTTTTTTGCCGAGATCACAGAAACAGGTGAACTATACTTCGCCTGCTCCGTGAGCTGAACGGTTCGAGCATTATATTATTTGATTATCTTTGTTGTTTAATAAGCCCCCGTAATTTCTAGTCGCTTGGACCTATTGTTTACCTCCTGAGGGTAGCTTCCACCCCTGTGTCGTACATTGGACGTTCCACGTTGTTGTACATGGACACTCACGCCGCCTGCCTTTGATTTAGTGCTTTGATCTCACCGCGTGAGCATAGCAGGAGGCTATCACAAACAGTAGTAAAACGTGATTTGCGATATTAGAAAACTAACAAGGACGTGGAGTGCAAGGGTTGCATGTATAAAAACTGGAGAACCGCTGGATTATGATAAATCCGTTTATTGACCTAAGGCGCACCAAGCATCTGGTCCGATGATGCAATATTTATCATTTGAAGGTCAAGGTACTTTCTTGCCATCTGCTGTCTGTACGTATTTGCCCCATACCATCTCTCCCTAATCTCCAACCACCCCCCCCATCACCAATGTTATATCGTGTTATATCCCTAATCCCCCAACCCCCCTCCCCCCATTACCGATGTTTTATCACGACGTACTTGCCCCATACCATCTCTCCCTAATCCCCCCCCCCCCAATCAACCGATGTTTTATCGCTTTGGATTGGGAGAGAGGAGAAAAGAAGTGTTTTTTATAATGTTAGGCTGGGGGTGCTCATTGGTACAGTTAGATTGTGTTATAAATGGTTATGTGCTGGGTTTATGCTATATGCTGCTCAGTGGTGCAGTTAGATTGTGTTATAAATGGTTATGTGCTGGGTTTATGCTATATGCTGCTCAGTGGTGCAGTTAGATTGTGTTATAAATGGTTATGTGCTGGGTTTATGCTATATGCTGCTCAGTGGTGCAGTTAGATTGTGTTATAAATGGTTATGTGCTGGGTTTATGCTATATACAACCAGACATCTCCAGAGTAATTTTTTCCTAACACTTGGGCGCAGAGACATAATTAACATAACACTCAGAGTCGTACTTAACATAAAACTCACAGCCATACTTAACATAACACTCACAGCCATACATAACATAACACCCACAGCCTTACATAACATAACATTCACAGCCATACATAACATAACACTCACAGCCATACATAACATAACACTCACAGCCTTACATAACATAACACTCACCGCCATACATAACATAACACTCACAGCCATACATAACATAACACTCACAGCCATACATAACACTCACAGCCTTACATAACATAACATTCACAGCCATACATAACATAACACTCACAGCCATACATAACATAACACTCACAGCCTTACATAACATAACACTCACAGCCATACATAACATAACACTCACAGCCATACATAACAAAACACTCACAGCCTTACATAACATAACATTCACAGCCATACATAACATAACACTCACAGCCATACATAACATAATATTCACAGCCTTACATAACATAACACTCACAGCCATACATAACATAACACTCACAGCCATACATAACATAACACTCACAGCCATACATAACATAACACTCACAGCCATACATAACATAACACTCACAGCCATACTTAACATAATACTCACAGCCATACATAACATAACGCTCACAGCCATACATAACATAACACTCACAGCCATACATAACATAACACTCACAGCCATACTTAACATAACACTCACAGCCATACTTAACTTAACACTCACACTCACAGCCATAATTAACTTAACACTCACAGCCATACTTAACATAACACTCACAGCCATACTTAACTTAACACTCACAGCCATACTTAACTTAACACTCACAGCCATACTTAACTTAACACTCACAGCCATACTTAACTTAACACTCACAGCCATACTTAACATAACACTCACAGCCATAATTAACTTAACACTCACAGCCATACTTAATTAACATAACACTCACAGCCATACTTAACTTAACACTCACAGCCATACTTAACTTACGACCCCAAACCGTAACTTAACCACTCCAACACCATAACTTTACCATAACTTTACCACAACTTAACCACCCAAACACCATAACTTTACCATAACTTTACCACAATTTAACCACCCAAACACTATAACTTTACCATAACTTTACCACAACTTAACCACCCCAACACCATAACTTTACCACAACTTAACCACCCAAACACCATAACTTTACCACAACTTAACCATAACTTAACCACCCAAACACCATAACTTTACCATAACTTTACCACAACTTAACCACCCCAACACCATAACTTTACCACAACTTAACCATAACTTTACCATAACTTAACCACCCAAACACCATAACTTTACCATAACTTTACCACAACTTAACCACCCAAACACCATAACTTTACCATAATTTTACCACAACTTAACCACCCCAAAACCATAACTTTACCACAACTTAACCACCCCAACACCATAACTTTATCACAACTTAACCATAACTTTACCATAACTTTACCACAACTTAACCACCCCAACCCCCCAACTCTACCACCCCAACACCATAACTTTACCACAACTTAACCATAACTTTACCATAACTTAACCACCCCAACACCATAACTTTACCATAACTTTACCACAACTTAACCACCCCAACACCATAACTTTACCATAACTTTACCACAACTTAACCACCCCAACACCATAACTTTACCATAACTTTACCACAACTTAACCACCCCAACACCCCAACTCTACCACCAGCTGTAACTATTTACCTCCACCCCTAGCACGTCCACAACATGGAGGCGAGCTCTAACCTCAGCATCGACTCGACCATCCGGAGACTCAAGAATGCTTTAGCGGTGGAGCTGCCCTGGCCGATACAGGATATACACGTTGAGAAAATCAATGTAAGTCCTCATCTTTCATCATTAGCCATCATCCCGTCATTATTTGGTCATCATCTCATAATTAGCTAGCCATCATTAGCTAGCCATCATCTCATCATTGGCTAGCCAATATTTCATCATTGGCTAGTCATTATTTCATCATTGGCTAGCCATTATTTCATCATTGGCTAACCAACATCACTTTATCATTATAAATTATGATAGCCATCCTTTAGTGTTTAAATTAGGCCTACTTATAGACATAGGCCTATCTATAGACATTGGCCTATCTATAGACATAAACCTACCTATAGACACAGACCTACCTGTAGACATAGACCTACCTATAGACACAGACCTACCTATAGACATAGACCTACCTATAGACATAAACCTATCTGTAGACATAGACCTATCTATAGACATTGGCCTATCTATAGACATAAACCTATCTATAGACATAGACCCACCTATAGACATAGACCCACCTATAGACATAGACCCACCTATAGACATAGACCCACCTATAGACATAGACCCATCTATAGACATAGACCTATCTATAGACATAGACCTATCTATAGACATATGCCTACCTATAGACATCATCATCATTTCCCGTTCGTGCCCAAGACACACGGGGCAGATAAAGTAGAGTTCACCTGCTTCAGAGACTTCGGCATATGAAGGTATAGTGTGGTCAGCACTATGGGATAGTGTGGTCAGCACTATGGGATAGTGTGGTCAGCACCATGCCCAGCCGCCTTTGTTTCCCTAACGTAAGCTGGATGGACATAGACATTACACTGATTGCCTGCAGACGTATGGCTACCTATAGACGTTGACCTACCTATAGACAAAGACCTACCTACGCATAATAAACTTGCAAGATTTAGTTTTTCATCAATAAAAAAGAAAGTACTTCAATATTTCATGAACTGGAAAAGCTTCAGAATATATATTTAGTGTATGAATAAATGGACCAAATAAACTGGGACAAATTCTCTGGGGTTTATTGTTAAACTCGACACCGTCTTCTCGAAAAAACTGAAATAGCTAGAAGCAAACTGGAATTTTAAAATATTGATCGGTGTTAAGTAAATGAGGTGAATAGTGGGCGTTGATGGTTTCCACTACGATGGGAATGGGGCTGTGGGGGTGGGGGAGGCTTGTTAGCGGGATTGGGGCTGTTGGGTGGGGGAGGCTTGTTAGCGGGATTGGGGCTGTGGGGTGGGGGAGGCTTGTTAGCGGGATTGGGGCTGTTGGGGTGGGGGAGGATTGTTAGCTGGAATGGGGCTGTTGGGGTGGGGAGGCTTGTTAGCGGGATTGGGGCTGTGGGGTGGGGGAGGCTTGTTAGCGGGATTGGGGCTGTGGGGTGGGGGAGGCTTGTTAGCGGGAATGGGGCTGTGGGGTGGGGGAGGCTTGTTAGCGGGATTGGGGCTGTGGGGTGGGGAGGCTTGTTAGCGGGATTGGGGCTGTGGGGTGGGGGAGGCTTGTTAGCGGGATTGGGGCTGTTGGGTGGGGAGGCTTGTTAGCGGGATTGGGGCTGTTGGGGTGGGGGAGGCTTGTTAGCGGGATTGGGGCTGTTAGGGTGGGGGAGGCTTGTTAGCGGGATTGGGGCTGTTGGGGTGGGGGAGGCTTGTTAGCGGGATTGGGGCTGTGGGGTGGGGGAGGCTTGTTAGCGGGATTGGGGCTGTGGGGTGGGGAGGCTTGTTAGCGGGATTTGGAGCCCCGGGATCAGATGGTAGAACAGACGATGCTAATGGTTTAGGGCAGACGTCAAGCCGGGCAGATGGCAGACGAAACAGGCTCGTGACGGAACTGTCTGATATGATGTACTGCCTGACCTTTGTTAAAAGGGTTCGCAATTGTTTGTTGTTTTATTCTATTAGGACACCTTTGTTAGAAGGGTTCGCAATTGTTTGTTGTTGCTTCTGTTTTAAAGTTCGATTAGGACACTGTGATGACGCAAGATTACGTCAGACATGTTTAGCAGATATAGGTTAGCAGAAACAGACTATAGGCCTAGTTGGTTGGGTAGAGAGGCCAATGGGCGCACAGGGCTGACCGGTCACGTGGGACGGTCAGCTGACCACTGAGGCGTGGGGCAGTAGAGCGATAGGCCAGGAGTTGTTAGGTAGCGGTAGAGACGGCCGAGAATGTAGATAGTTAGGAGATCATGTTTAGCTAGCGAAGATAGAAGGTGTTAGGTTGTAGAATGTAGAGAACAGTTAGTGTTAGGATTGGTCATGGGAGTGCGTAGTAGTAGGTAGCATGTGGTATGAACAGTCAGTAGTAGAAGTAAATAGTACAGTGTAGATCAGTTAGGTAGAAACTTGAACATATATATCATTTTAATAAAGAACAATTATAGTTGAACTTGAACTGTGTGTTATTGGATTCATTCATTCCGCCATCGTAAAAATCCCCACCCTCACATCTGGTGGAGCGCGGGTCGAGTGAGGGAAAGAACGTATATCAGCTATTCATGACGGAGTATGACTGGTGTATTGCTTTCTCTAACTCAACACAACAGCGGGTTTCTTCAACCGGAACGAGTTTGGATTAACAACACAAGGGAACTGTCACCATGTTCAAAAAGATAAGTACCTTCCATCATTTTTTTAAACGTTTGGGTTTATACCCGTGCTGGATAGTTTGTACCAGTGGTTTTTCTGCCTTACACATTCTATTGTTACGCACTGTTGCCTTAGTTTTGCTTACTTTCCTCAACACACACACACACATATACACAACCATGGAGGCAGAGTTTCAATGCTATAAACAGGGCATACCATTAGACAAAACAGGAGAAGAAGTTGAAACATTTGTAGAGAATAAGCTAGAAAACAAGATAGTCAAGATAGTAAGAAATGTCAAGAACAAAAGCAGAGTTAGCGTTAGAATTAGTGAAACTGAAAGTACAGCACATAGATAACACGCATCTGCCCTAGAACATCAAGCCCGTGACCAAGAATGTGACCCGGACCGTCCCCATAAATGATTTTGAACAACGGACATAATAGTGTTTTTTGTGTTAATCTAAGTCGAGAAAATCGACATGAAGTCGATACAAGTTGAAGTTGAAGTCAGTGTAGTTAAACTGAAGTCAATTGTGTTATTGAAGTCAGTGAAGTAAATAAAGTCAAAACTGAAGTCAAAGAAGTTATTTGAAGTCAGTCAAGTCAGTCAATAAGTTGTTGAAGTCGTATTTGAGGTCATAGTGACGTAGTTGAAGTCATGTTGCAGTCAAAGAAAAGTCTTTGAAGTTATATTAAAGTCGTTGAGGTCATAGTGAAGAAGTGAAATCGTCGAAGTTATAGTGAAGTCATTGAAGTCAAAGTGAAGTCTTTGAAGTCATATTGAAGTTGTTGAAGTCAAAGTGAAGTCTTTGAAGTCAAAGTGAAGTCTTTGAAGTCATATTGAAGTTGTTGAAGTCAAAGGGAAGTCTTTGAAGTCATATTGAAGTAGTTGAAGTCAAGGAAAAGTCTTTGAAGTCAAAGTGAAGACGTTTAAGTCGTCGAAGTTTAAGTCGGTCAGTGAAGTCTTTTAAGTTGAATTGAAGTGAAGTCGTCGAGGTCAAGTTAGTCTTCAAAGTGAAGTTAGTCGTCAAGTTGAAGTAATTGAAGTCGTCAAAGTGGAATCCGTCGTTAAATTGAAGTCAGTCAAGTTACTGAAGTCGAAGTGAAATAAGTCAAGTTACTGAAGTCAGTCAAGTTACTGAAGTCATAAGTGAAGTCAGTCATTAAGTCAAGCTAGCCAGTTTTTTGTCAGAATTCAGATAGTGAGAGCTGCTCCACTATATGATTACGTGTTCAAATATTGATTTGAAATGGCACTATATTATTGATATACACTCACATGTCTATTCTTTTTGTGAAGCTATTTCTAAGCTCTAGTAGTGTTTACGTCTATTGAGTTTATTAGGCTTTACAGATTGTTGTTAGATTAGAGTGTACTATTTTTTATTTGGTTATTTTTGTAATGTTATATTTGTAAAGTTATTTTTTAATGTTTGTTATGCCGCCAGACAAATGTTCAGCACGTTTAAATTTGGGTTTGAGGTTTTTTTAAATGGAAGGTACCTCTGTCTGAATACTTGTCTGCGCGGGCACTAAAATGTTCACGTAAAGCCATTGCTCATGGTCTCGTAATACAATTCTCAGACCCACTATGCTTATTCAGAATGAGACGAGATGAAGCCGACACTTCAAAGAGTGCCGCCACCTGAAGCCCTGATTACGTTGAATTACCTGGACAGCGAACAGCCCTGCTGAACAGAGAATTGCCCTGGTCAAGACAGCGGACGCATCGCCACCGCTTAGCCCCACCCTGGGGTTATCTAACAGACCGCCAGCTACGTTAACCTACGTCGGCACATACAAAGGGTAGAAGACCCATCGTCCAAGTTCCCAGCGTCGGAATGTTACGTCATTGTTCGCCACCGCATCAGACAGCTCCAGTTCATCGTATAACCACTCTACGTGGACGTCTCAACCAGCGTTGAGATCAGATTGTTGTGTCATCACATTGACCAACGAAAGTTACGCCTACACCCGCCTCACGGGAATTTACGTCGACCAACGCCACAACCCACCCACCACAGAGGAACGCCAGCAATTACATAACACGTACACATACACTTACACTGCTCGCAGAGCCCGTTCAACCAGTTACACATTCTACTAAGATTAGCTCAAGGCCAGTACACGACAACCTAACCAGAACTGAGTTACACATGATTAGATTCAATCAAACCATAACATAGACATACATTATCAAGCAGAGACACCACAGACGTCAGGATACTTACACAAAAACTAGAACAATGACATTTTTTTTTCAGGAACACAGACACAAGATTTTATGTTTTTGTAAACTGTACTGTCCCATTTTGTATTTGATTTATATGATTGATGTTAGGGATAGAATAGAGTAGTAAGATAGATAGTTGTTGATGTATTAGATTAGTAGCAGACGCTGAAAAATATAATTTGTCAGCTACAGAAAGGGAGGGAGAT